GACGGGAGGTTAACATTTTGCTTGGCTTTGTCGTACAAATCTTCCAACCGATGATCCTCCAGAAGAGGAGCGAACATGACGATCGCCTTTGGATGACCCCGCAGCTCTCGTATGACAGGAGAAGCCGCTAGTTCCGCGTACGCCTCCTCCCTCGTCGCATACGGCCTGCTCATCATCTCCTCCAAATCAAAGCCAGGCGGGGCGATGTTTGCAAGCATATGTGCGGTGGCTACATCAGACAACGGTCCCAGGTGCACCACTTTCTCGGATGAGCTTTCCAAGCGCCCCGAACCGCTTCCCAAAACGGAGCCCTCCGCGGTGACGAGCAGATGGAGACCGTGTATCCGCGAAAGCAAGTAGCTGAGGACTTGGACGAGGGAGTTGGAACGATTGAAGAAGCGATCTGGCCCATCCAACACCATGATAACGCGGCCAGAAGGATGCTTATCCTGCAAAAGGAAGACGATCTCTCTCTCGTTCGAAGCGTCCTCGAAGCCTATCGCCGCGCCAATCACCTTGCAGAGCGTTTCCTTCTCGTAAGATCGATACTCTTTTCGGCGCAACGGAACCATATAAATAGCATCGAATTGGTTTCGCTCGGCCAGATACTGGCAGACCTTCGAGGCCAGGGCGGTCTTCCCTACCCCCGGCCGGCCCCGCACAGTGATGCAGCGGTTTCCCTGGGAGACCATCGAGAGCAGTCCTATGACTTCTTGCGCTGCCACATTTCGCCCGACAAATGGGACGGGGGGGGGATCACATGTGTTAGGAACGGGAGGGGGCGATTCGTCTACGAACTCGCCCATCTCCGCGTCGTCAAACACGGCTAGGTCGTGCTCCCCGTCCGCCGGCAACAAGAGAAACTGCTCATCCTCTGACGAGACCCCCGTCTCTGTCACCGCTGCCGTGCTGGCTACTTCGAAGGCCTGCCGCACAGTCCGTCCCATGGCAATCGACAAATAGAAGAATTCGGCGAAAATGCAGGCGGCGCGGTCCGAGACCTTGGCGTCCCACTTCATTGCCACCACGTGCCGCACCCCCGCAGCGATGAAAGCTCTGCCGACAATTTCTGAATGCCGGGCGCTAACAAATACCAGCTGAGTCCTGACCCCTCCTGCTGCAAAGAGCTCAGTTAGGGTCTCAATGCTCAACACGTTGGTCTCTCCGACAGGTTTTTCTTTCTCGAATATCAAGCAGGACGGCTTGCCAATTCCCGTGTAGTGTAGCATCCGACACCCTATAGTTAAAAGCTTTCTGCAATTCTTCACAGTCGCAACTTCGGCACGAAAGAGAATGCGGCGTTGGGCATCATGAAGCGTATGTTTCAGCCGGCCAAGCTCTTGGCCTATGTCGATGTGCATCCCGTCCTGCATGTCCAACTCTTTGGCCTGCCCACCTGCCTTGTGCACCAAAGGGGCCGAGTATAAATATCCAAGTCGGCAGGGCGATAAAGGATCTCGAGTAGCCCCTCCAGAGTGCAGCGCGAAAGGAGGAGATCGGGAGGGTACATCTTGACTAGATGATGTCGGAAGCTGTGTGTGACTTCCGTTGCCATTTACTTCCTTGGCTTTGGATCTTGCGGACTTGGCGTGGTGGCCGGGGAGGTGAAATCTTGCAAACATAGGCTTTCTCGCCCTTTCCTATACATGAAATGGTTGTGTCAGAAGCATGTCCTGCCTAGTAGCCTCCCCCGGTCGCAGCGAGGCAGTGGCGAAACGGGAAAGTAACATGGGCGATGTGCGTGATGGAGGCCGAGCATGGTGGGGCGCCCCGCTGGATCTGCCAGGATACACTCGCCCGTCACGCGACGTGTCACGTGCCCGTGTCCCAGACACCGTCGGGGGCACATGTCTCATCTATTGCATGAAAAAATGCTCTAGCACTGTCTCGTGCTTTGGTATTTGGAGCTCGAGGTGGCGTCGCGTCGCGTTCAGGCGGGTCTGACCACTCGTGCCATCTCTGTTGTCGGAACGGCAGAGCCCGTCGCTCCTACCCTGCCTTCCTGGCTGTCACACGTATTGACACACAATCTTTCCCCTCCTGCAATAAAGTGCGAGCCTTACTTTACGCAGGAGTGTACCAGTGCAGCAGGCGCGTGCCCACTACATTTGGATAGAGAACAGGGCAAAGCAAGACCTCCTCCACCTCCTCCTCCCCATCCTAGAGGGTGGTCTGTCCGATTGCCAAGCTGGAAACACTATCAACTTATCAGATCCATTCACGTGTTGGGTTTCGACGGAAGTCATAAAATGACAGGCACGTCCGACATCGAGCTCGGCAAACTGTCTAATGCGTCGTCTAATCTCAAGCTCAGCGGGAGCGATGAAGGTCAAAATCGGAAAGGTTACGACGCGCCAAAACCAAGTTCCGCGACATCATTGCGGTGGAATATCCGGAAGCTCAGCGTGCCCATAAAAAGAAAGCACCTCGCCAGACTACAGGGCAATTTGGAATTCCTGGGTCAGCAACACGGTTCGGGACGCGATACCAATATGCCATTCCGAGGCAACGGGGGCGACGTCCTCACAAACAGTAGGGCGGGGGGTCGAGGCACCACGAGGGGTACCTCCATCAATGAGAGTCTAGGTAGTAAGACAGCAGAGCGGCACATTTTATATAATGTGGTCGGACACGCCGAGAAAGGGCAAATGTTGGCCTTGATGGGGGCGTCAGGAGCCGGCAAGTCATCTCTGCTTGATTGCATATCCCTGCGCAACCATCGCTTTGATGGCTGCGTGTACTTGGATCGGAATCCGGTAGACACGCACTTTTTCTCGACAAGTGCGTACGTACATCAGGTAGACCTCTTTTTCGCGACACTGACAGTCCGAGAGCACCTGACGTTTCATGCCATGGTGCGTGTGAAGCAGGAAGTGCCGATCGCAGACCGTCTACGTAGAGTTGAAGAGGTAATCGATGCAGTCAATTTGACCAAGGTTGCTGACTCCCTGATCGGCGGACCTCAAGCTTTCATCCGAGGCGTCTCGGGGGGGGAGCGGAAGCGCCTGTCCGTTGCGACAGAGCTCCTGTCGGACCCGGAGATCATCTTCGCCGATGAGCCAACTTCAGGTTTGGACGCGTTCATGGCACTATCGGGTACGATAAATGAAAGAATACTGAGGAGAAAGAAACATTTGCTCACATATCATGACGGCATTATGAAATTTCTCATGTACGCATTTTAAATTCCAAATACAGTGTGCAAGATCCTCAAGGGATTGGCTGACAGTGGGAGGCTGGTGGCATGCGTCATCCACCAACCATCATCCGAGATATTTGAGCTTTTCACTCATCTGATGCTTCTGGCCAGGGGCCAGACGGCATATTTCGGTACGCGTGCAGGCGGTGTCGAATATTTCGCATCGATGCTTGGTCTCGAATGCCCGCAATTTTACAACCCGGCAGACTACCTGATCGAGAAGCTGGCGGTCAACGTGCTGTTGGAGAAGCCTGAAGTGGCTGTGGAAGATATGCTACGAGTATATCAGTCGTCGGAACTTGCGCGAGATAACGAGGCCTGGATGGCGGACGTGGAGGAGACCGCAGGTTCAGGAATGGGCGTGGCTGCTCTAGTTTCCAGTCGGGAATTTCCGGCAACGTCGTGGACCCAGTTCGTGGAGAGCTACAAGCGCACGGTCAAGTCCTACGGACGAGAGCCTGTGCTGGCTAAGGTCCGCTTAGGGCAGGCGATCTCGATGGGGTTGATATTGGGTTTGGTGTATCTGCAGCAGCCGTTTGATTCAAGTGCTACCAAGAATCGTCTGGGCGCCATGTTCCTGCTAATTATGAATCAAAGCATCGCATCCATGTTCACAGTTTCGCAAGTCATTCCCAAGGACATGGCTGTTTTTATGCGCGAGTATTTGACAAGCGCCAACCGGCCATCGTCCTACTTCCTGGGCCTTTCTCTTGCAGAGGTCCCGTATCAAGTCCTTTTCCCCTGTATTTTCGGGTCTATAGCTTACTGGCTAATAGGTTTTGCACCAGAAGCGAGTCGATTTTTTATCTTCATCGTGACCCTAGTGCTGATGGCCAACGCGTCGTGCTCCCTTGGGTATGCTCTTTCCACTCTCACTGGTCATGATGGCGTAGCAGTGGCGCTGGGACCGGTTTTAATGTTGCCTATGAGTCTATATGCCGGCGTGCTGCATTCATCAGACCACGTTCCCTGGTACTTTGTGCCGTTGGACAAGGTTTCCATGATCAAATATGCATTTCAGGCTATTGTCCTAAACGAGTACGGTTCAGATAAGTACACACCGCAACTCCGCAACTTCGTATTCGAGTACATCGGCGTGCAGGAAGGGCAAATTGGCTTTTGTATTGCGATGCTAGTTGTGCTCCTTTTCGGATTCCGCTTCCTTGCTTACGTCTTCCTTCTAATTCGAGCAAAGCGAGCATTGATGTAAGATTGTCTGGCGAGAGCATCATGCTGTAGAATTTTAAATCGACAAATTAAGCATGCTCTAAATCAGATGTGTCCTAAAGCACATCGGTATGATCGGCAGCTGCTGTGTGTGTGGATAAGATCGTGTGTCCAGGACAGCTGTGTATCGTGCAGCATTTGCACAACTTTGAGGAAATAACAAGTGGACGAGCTAAATATCGAACCTCATTATCGTCATCTTGTTTGAGGAGGAGAGCTGCATTACCGGTCTTGGGCCTTTAACATAACCGAGGCGACGGGAGGTTAACATTGAATTTGTTTCTGGCCCATACAGCTTTCGTCAAAAACATAAAAAGGTCTTTTATGTCATAAATTTGGTTTCGCGTGCATACAATAGGTCTTAAAACCTGATAGTCTGATTTTTGTGCCAACCAATAGCTCTAGCGGTCAAAGAAAAGATGCCCATTGCAAGTCAAATGGCATCCGCCGCCGAAATTGGGATAGGAAGCATGACGGAGCCTCAAGACTGGGACGCTATCGAGGTATGTGTGCCTTTTCGGACTAAATGGCATAAAAGGAGGTAAGAAAATACTTCATTTCATATACTCATATGTATTCAGGGCACATCTTATCTCACAATGGAGTCGATAGCCGAAAAACTGAAAATACTTGATTCAAGGATTGGTACATCCTCCATGTCTCCTCCTAGCGTGGATCGCCTTTCCTTTGTTGTACAGCAGCCAACTCAGCGCGAACTATTTCTTAAGGTCGGATTTTGGTTGATTGAAAGATTAGATGGGACGCAGAGCGATTTTTCGTATGCACAGCGCCGTAAAAGTGTTGAAGATCTTGTCTCAGATATTTCGGAACGAAAAATCTTGCAGCAGTGTGGCGAAGAGGCTATGAGAGCCTTTGAGTTGGGCCGCGGAAAAGCGGTCTGTCGTGTCCTAGATAGCCTTTGCGATCTCGTATTAGCCAAAGTAGGGTTTCGCTGGCAGAGGCCTGTCCATACAATTTGTAGGGAGATTCCGCTGAAGGCTGACAGCAAGGAGACAGAAGCCGTCCGGAGATCCATAAAAGAATCATTTCCAATGCTCATGCACCTTCAGGATCCCTCAGCTGATGACCAACAGAATACTAATAGCGTAAAGGAATGTAAGGCGGAAAGGAAGAATAGCGATCACACGTCTAACCGACTTCATGATCAGAGTGAAAGTAAGGAGCAGCGGTATAAAGCACGAGTTCTCCAGCTCAAAAATCAAATTATCGATCAGCAAAACGTATGTCAATTACAATCAAGACGGATACAAGTCCTCAAAAACGATTTACGAAAGCTAAATGAGCGTTGCGTGCGACTGCAGCAAAAAGAAAGGGAGGCATTAAGTGATAACCCACTAGGTCGCATGTCCTCACCAGAAGCCATTGCTGACGCTAAAGATGTAACTTGCACTCCTCTAGTTGTAAGGTTGAAAATTGCGGACATGAAAATGAAGGAGGAGATCCCAGCTCTGAAATTCAAGACGGGTATAATCCGGCATTCTCTCTTCAGTGAAAAGAGCTATTCGAGTTCTACCCACTATGATTGTGTGAGTGCGACACCTGTTGACGATTACGAAGAAGATGAATAAGATAGACAATATACAGGACATCGCGTTGATCATCGGGTCGGAGATAAAGAAAAAACTATATTCCATAGATATCATGACGACTGCGGAGAGAGACTTTGTGTGCTCACATTTCTATTCATGATTCATATTGAATGGTGCGATAGCCGTCTCTACTTTAATCTGTCGTAGACTACATCCTCAAGATGCATCCGGTAGACTGCTCTTATAGATTATTCGACACGCACGTGCTCGCGCAATCCATATCGATTTTCTCCCTGACTCCTGGTCAAAATCTATGCAAGGCAAAACAACATCAATAGCTGACGGCACGATGGCCTTTATACTAGTTCGCTCCCTTCCACGCCGAATTTATATATTTTGGGAGATCACGTCCTCGAGCCGTTCTGGGTCCGCACCAGAAATGGAGTCCACACGCTTTCCGTTCTTCCAGAAGTGAAAGGCCGGCACCGATCGCACGCCCTCGCGTTTGAGGAGCTGTCCCGCTTCAGGTGTGGAGTCACCAATTACCTTCACGAAAACTGCATCAAAGCGCGAGGACATCTCATCAAATTTCGGAGCCATCATCTTGCAGGGTCCGCACCATGTCGTGGAGTAATCGACGATCAGGAGCTTTTCACCAGCGCCCGTTACCAGCTACAGATGAAGTAGACATGAAGACGTTAGATAATGCTAAATACTGACTAGACCAAGAAAAACGAACAGCAGTGAGGGCAAGTGAAAAATGATTGCACGCGAAATCAAGGGAGAGGGTTGAAGAACGAGACAGACGTCAGGCCGCGTAAGGAAAGAACAAGGAAATCCAGACTACACTAGGTGCCAATCCATTGCGGTGCCGGATATCTAACGGGCAACTGATGATGTTAAGCACAGTTCAACAAGGGGAGGCACCTTACCTTATCGAAGTCATCGGGGGAGGACGCTTCCACTACTGCCTGCTGGCGAACGAGCTGAACCCTTGATGCCCTGCTGCTGTGGACGGGTGGTGCAACGAAGGCGTCCGACGCAGAAAGGAGTACGGCTCCAAGAAGGAAAAAGTAAAGCAAGGTTCTCGTCATAATTCTTTGCTACGACTGGGGAATTTTCACTGCAACCTCCAACTTTTGCGGGTCCTGGTGGCACCTTGCGGTAAGGTGAAGGTTGACGGGGTCGGACAATGGAGAGATGCATGAGGACGAGGTACGGGGGGAAAAAATCAAGGCCGGCGAAGCACACCTCTCAGTCCCAAAGGTCAGGATCTCCGAGTCGCTGTCTCGCGTTCACTCCCAGCTTGAGCCTGCGGCGTGTGCGGCAGCGTGGATCTAATTGCAAGGCGCCGGGGGGCCGCATTCTCTCATTTCACCCCTCGAGGCGAGTCGCAGCGACGCCCTAAAGAACACTCGAGAAGGACCGCGAGGTTCTCGCGGTCGCTTTGGGGTGGGAGCAGGCCGCATGTGAGCGGTGTTGCACGTGTGCACAAAAACCGGACCCACGGTATCACATCGTCCTCATGTTTTTTAAAACGCGTACAATTTCAAGTTGTTTCACCCAGCAGGAAAAACCACGTACTAGCCAGACCTCCCCCACTCCATCCACTACCTAGTCAGACAGACATGGTGAGTGCCAAGTCCTTGAAATACTGCCAGAGGGCCCAATCCCTCGCACACTTTTCTGGATCACGTAATGATTGATTTATTGCTTTTAGTGCTTGGCACTCAGGGCTGGATTTTGAAGTTTCGAGAAGGAGGGAAGGAAAGAATGCCCCATCTCATCCTGTTACAACTTTTGCGGCTGTGTAAGGCTAGCTGGACTGCGTAAGCAATCATATTTACATCATTCATTTCCGTTCACCCGTTGTTCACCAGTCCCTCCGCAAGCTTATTCCTCTCGCCGACCGCATCCTTGTGCAGCGCATCTTGCCAAAGACCCAGACAGCTGGCGGGGTCTTCCTCCCGGAGACCAAATTAGACAAGCCGAATGAAGGCAAAGTCATTGCGGTTGGTGCAGGTGGACGCAAGGCAGACGGAACGCTGATCCCCCCCAGCGTTAAGGAGGGGGACACAGTGCTTCTGCCTGAGTATGGCGGCCACACAGTGAAATTGGGGGATGAAGAGTACCAGCTGTTTAGGGACGAGGATCTGCTGGGAAAGTTTACGTAGAGGGGCCAGGGCGGTAAATAAGGTGTTGAAGCTGCATTCGGAAACAGAGTGAAGGCCTGGTTTGCACAGCGATGGCTTCTCACATACCGCACTAGCGGCATGGAACGGCCTCTCTCAAGTGCGGATAGGGGAACGACTTCAGATATGTAGTATACGTTGCATGACGGCCCCTTGACATAATCACCCGAAAACAAGCTCTGTGTCACTCATTTTTTTCGATATTTACATCCAGGGGTTTTCCACATCAGGAGATCTCCATTTTTTTTACGTTGGGACATTGAACAGTACCGCGTACTATGCTTTCAGTAGAATGCACATCTGCATCCTAATATGGACAGATTAACATAACTAAACATGACCCACTAGGGTTTTTTAGATTAAATATTTTCGTTCACGGCCATTCTCACGTCGTATAGAACACCCTCAAGAGGCCATTGACTGGTCTCCACCCTGACCTTGTGCGCACAAACGGTTGAAGATGACCTCAATCTGAGTCTCGCCCAAGGCGTACTCGATGATGCTGCACATTGCCTTGCCTGACTCCAGCCGTTCGAACATGTCAGCAAGTGACAGGGGTCCCGTACACCCTCTTCCTCCCCCCCC